AATTTCGACAACTTAGGGGTTTCAAAAGCTTATTTAATCGATTTTAAAGTCTACTAATATGTAAAAAATACATATAATATTTTTTCTCCTCGACGAATTGTGCTTTTTTTCCCCGACGGGGGGGGGGGCTGCTCTCCCCGACGGGGGCCATGCCCCCCGGCCCCCCGCTGGCGCAACCCCTGTTTAGAATATAGCAATTGCCCCCTGCGATCGAGATAACAATCCCCTAGGGAGTTCGGAGGCATGTCCCCGGAAATATCTGTGTTCTAGACGCCCGAAAATAACCTCTGAGGCTTTTAGGGTGATACATTTTTTTCTTTTTCTTTCTTTTTTTCTGACTTTCAAGAAAAAAGGTGGTGGGGAGGAGAGCCCGCAGCCGGCCCGGTTCCCCTATAAATCCGCCCCTGATTACCTGCACCCGTTTATGATTAAGTCTATCTAAACTTACTTTAACTCACTATACCTTTGCCGACCACCAGGTTGCACTGATGATGTATCTATCCAACATACAATTGCGAAGCTCATCCGTATTCACCATCCTTGTCTTGCCTAGGAGTTTCTATGAAGGTGGTTTTCTTCCTAATTCTCTTCTTATGTCTATCCAGCCTTTGCAATAATACTAGGCTGCAGGCAAACTTATTCGCTGTGACACGCGCAGTAATCAGCAAGTTGCAGTCTTCTTTAATTCATATACGGTACGAGTGGAAGATTTTGATACAGCTGCTCGTTTGTTAGATTAGTGCAACTTGCTGATCACTGCGTGCGTCACAGCGAACAAGTCGCCTGTGACAGTCAATTGTTATTGCAACCACTGGATGGACTTCAGTCAAACAACAGTAGCAAGTAAAATGTTTACTTTGATCTTCCGTGACAGATTAGAGGTTCATAGTGATCTAAGTTATGACAAGGACTCCAAGCTAACGCCTTCCTTACTGTTATATCCTTCTCTGTGTTTCCTATCTATTCTCCTTGATATTTAAAGTTTTATATAGTGGTGATGGGTGTCTGAAAACCAGTCTGGGTCAAACAAGGAAAGGTACTATCGCCCCACAGTACCCCATTTACCCTGTTTACTTCGTCTGAAACTGTGTCCACTTAATTTCTTCCAGTACTATCATCAGACAAATCCTGTCCGTCTGGTTTCTTTGGTAAACTCTGTAACTACCCATGTCACTGTTCGGGCGGAGATGATTGTAACAGAGATGATGGCAGCTGTATAAATGGGTGCAATGAATCATGGGCTGGCTCAAACTGTAGCGTAGGTAGGTGTCATTGCTGAGATCACAAATGCATTTAGGCCTATATATTACGATTGGTCTGATGAGTTTAATATACAGAAAATATTTTGTGATATTAAAGAGGGTGGTTACGCCTTCTCCCCCCCCCCCAGTTAAAAAAAATAAAAAATATCTGTCTTATTAACCGTTCCCTAATGCTTAAAAACCCTATGTCTTAGAATAATCGGTTGTACATTAAAACAGGCTTTAAGATGTTCTTAATTTCATAGCCAAGGGTTCAATTCCTGTGACAGCGAACATTTCTCTCACGACTAAAAGCAAATTCACTCCCGTATATTAAAATGCATCGTTCCGTCCTATAATTGCACCAGTGATAATTGGCGAATTAGGATTAGTTGTACAAGTACAACCACTGTAAATTTTCAAGAAATTACAAACAAATATTGAGGAGTATCTTAGTCAATAACCGAGGGTGTCTCCAGCTCAAATCTCAATTTTGTAAAGTACTCTTGTGGTTATTTCTGAAATTTTTCTTTTGGTTACGAAAGGTCCACAAACTATTTTTCACTCATGTTGCAAGGAGGAAATTTTGCTGATTTAATTATAGGTGGTAGCTTTCCCCTTTAGGACATTCTTCTCTTTTCACATGCCACAACTCCTCCACTGGTTTGGCCTTTGGTGTGATTGCGAAATTTAAGCCTTATTTCCTCATGCTTAAGCTCTCTACTTCTTAAATTTACTTCGGTAAACCCAAGCCAAAAGAAGTGGCGCTATCAGCCGAAACGTAATTGAAATGTCCGAGCTGTCATCGCTTTACGTTTGACCATGCTTTTTGCCAAGTTTGTAAGTAAAAATAAAAATTTACTTACAAAAAATTTAGAACTGAATTACCCAAAAGAGGAATTTTAGCAATATTCTATTGAATCCAGAATGAATTCATTTCTTCTATTCTTCTGGTTGCTTGAGGTTTTAGCGATTAAATCCAATGGTAATATTACATTTTTTGTAAAGAATTAACGTTGAAATATTATTAATAATTATAGCTTTACCATCCTTAAATACGCCGCCAATCGCTACTGCATATACAAGTGCTATATCGGTTGATGTTACCTGGACACTAGGTAGACACTACGGTACAGGAACAATAACATCCTGGACCCTTTGGTACAAAAAAGCAGGTAGCAGTGAATTCACGTCAATAAATTCCAGCACACCTGACATCATCAATATTACTGGACTGAATCTTCATGAAACTGTAACATATTACAGTATTCTTTCACGATCCATTGAAGGTGTTAACACAGCTGGACCGGCAAGTCCACAAGGAATAATTCAAACCACTTGTTTAGGTAGGCATACAGATTAATTTGATGTTAATAGTAAGTTGAAATGTCTACTAAAGAGGCTAGGAATTATGTTAAATATAATATTTAAATATTTGGACAATAATAGTGTCATAACGTTTATTGGGTTTGGCTAGTTTATATGACGCTAATACCAATTTCATACATGTGTTGTACAATAGAACATGAGTCAAATTTAATTTCATTAATTATTTTGTACACTGGGAAGGTAATATTAAATCAATAGCTTTGTTGAATATGTAAATCATGGGTATAAGGATTTTCTTCTTTTCCATTTCATGAACGATTCAGAACCACTATCGCCTTCACCGCCAACAATCAAAACTGTGGCCAGAAATTATTTAGAAATTCAATGGGAGGTAAGCTCTAAATTGTAACAGATACTAAATTCCTATTATTTCGAGCAATATTTTAAAATATAAGCATATATCACTTATTTGAATAGAATGATTTTTTTAAATTCACGGAAGGTTTTACAATTTTAAAAAACAATGTATATATATATATATATAATTATATATATATGTATATGTATATATATTATATATTATATATATATTAATATATTATATATTTATATATTATATTTATATATATATATGTATATATTCCATACATATATATGGATATACATATATATATATATATATATATATATATATATATATAAATACAGTACATAAATTCCAAATATATGTATGCTATTATTAAGTTGGTGCCAAATGACACTGACGTAATCCAATGTGATGGTATTCTACGATACCAAGTTGGTTACCGAAATACGATGAATTCAAACCGAACAATCACCAATACGACAAGCAACACAAAGATGATGAGAATATCAGACTTACTGGAATGCACTGAATACTTTTTGGACCTAAGAATCGTCAACAATGGGGAAATTACAAGTCCGTGGAGCAAGACTATTCGAATCAAAACATCAGGTGAAATATAATTATTATATTTGATAGTATTATTATTAATAGTATTATCATCTTTATTACTATTATTAACTATATTGCTGTACTTTCCGGTTCTGTTATTGAACTTTAAGCAAGTCGTCTCACATTTCGCAAAGGA